GGGGGGGGGGGCATGGCCTCTATTCTGCAGGGGGGGTTCGGGTACTGGTTGAGGGTCGGGTCTACGTGTAATGCATTCTCGAATTGTCCCCTCACTATAGCTACTGTGGATTTTAAGTGTACACCTATCCTGACTCAACGCGTCTATGTGTCCGGCAATCTCCAATATAAGTCAACCTGTGAGGTTTCAGTATGCAGCTTTCTTCACACAATGCGTCTATGTGTCCGGCAGTCTCAAACGTCACTCAACCCGTTAGGTCTCAACATGCAGCTATCCTCACTCAACACGTCTATGTGTCCGGTAATCTCCATCACCTGTGAGGTTCAGTATGTGCCTATCCTCACTCAACGCGTCTTTGTGTCCGGCACTCCAACATCACTCAACCTGTGGGGTTTCAGTATGCAGCTATCCCCACTCAACCCGTCCATGTGTCTGGCAATCTCAAACCTCACTCAACCCTTGAGGTTTCAGTATACAGCTATAATCACTCAACACGTCTATGTGTCCGGCAATCTCCTACATCACTCAACCTGTGAGGTCTCCGTAAACAACTATCCTCACTCCACTCGTCCATGCGTCACCGTCGCGTACTATGGGGGCTTTACTTGGGGTGGCGTGTTTTACAGCGCTTGCCAACAGCGCCAACCCACTCAAGTCTAAAACGGGGGCGGGGGGATTGGTTAATGAAAAAAAAAAACGATCCCCTCCCCAGGAGAACAACTCCGTAGCTTACGGTTATTTATCCTTTGCAGTCCGCCTACTTCACCTCCCTATCGTTTCTTTTTGAATTTGCACATATGGTAGCTCCGTAAAGCGCTATCAATCGCGGCGCCGTATGATCACAACCCCAATAGTGCCACAACCGGCGCTATTGAGGCACTATTCCAAGAGCGTCGGTCTCGCTGAATAGCGCCGGCCGATGCGCTGGGCACATGCCGGCGTTATTGAGGGCCCCGCACTGTAATGGAATGGGCGCAGGCACGTTGTTTGGAGGCAGAAACGACACACAACGGCAGTTCCTCAGTCGCCGCACCTCTGTCGTCCAGCAGACGCTGTTGTCCGTGTCCGGTTCAAAAACGAAATAAGGGTAGCGCCTGTCGTACACATTACTCAACGAACACTGGAATCGTTTCATCGGCTCCATTCTCTGCCCTAGAAATCGTAACGGAGCCTAGAAATTGTAACGGAGCACACGACCCAGAGTTGCTGTGCCCTCTCCCTCGTGGAGGCAAACGAGTCATGTCCAGTCACACCACACAGCAGTCGGCGAGTTCATCTCCGATTCCTCCCTCACCTCCGAGAATATCCCTCGACATCTCAGGTCCTCCAGATCTACGACCATGCGATCGAGGGCATACTGCACGCTGTCCGCCATGATGCTCACCGAGCTGCCAACGCCAGGCGGGCAACCGTCGTAGTCCTCCTGTCGTGTCCTGATCACCGCAAGCAGCAAGAAGGGATGAACCTGAACCCAGGAATCTCGCCGCATGCCAGGGGGCCACCAACGGAGATACACGTATGGGCCTACTGCGAGTTTCGACCGCGTACCCCCCGATTCACTCCTCCTTCAATCAATGGAATTCCCCCGTGAGTCCCTGTGGCTGTTGGTGTGATGCGGCGAGGAATGATAAGCGGGACAGAGCGAGCTCAGTCAAGTTAGGGTGGATTGGAGAGTTAAGTGAGTCTTGGTGGACCCATCTCAACCTGCTCAAGCTACATCAACCAATAATTCGCACTTGTTGAGAATCGATCAAAAGATACAATCTTCGAACACCAGGGAATGAATATTTAGTCTACACTACATGCAGCGTATACGATCACCCATCACCAAACTATACTCATTATGTGTTGCGTGTGTGCACTTGTAGAATATCCCATATCCTGACCTTCCACACAGTCCCCCTTTAGCTTGGCCGAAAGCTCAGCTTGTCTTGAGTTGGGGTTTTGGCGTTCATACGTAACTCCGCTAGATTATATTATCATTATTTTGTTTGCCTTCCGACAATTGCAGATGTGCCTCAGAAAACTTTCACTTAATGTTGTTGTTGTTGTTGTTGACTTCACATTAAACCGTATGCCAGTTGCTAAATGCCAAAATCTAGCAAAGACTCTCGGCCCGTGGTCACGAAAGTGCTGGAGCCATCTTAGGATCTAAAGAACACGCACACGTAGCAAGAAAAATAAAAGGTGTACAAGAGCCCGAAGAGGTACTACTACACCTATATATAATCCCTGCAGCACCGTACGCGTGCCCAAAACTGAACTACACGTCCGTCTCACCGTTCGACTACAGCAACATCACCCCCTACTTGTCCCACTCTGTACCAAAACGAATGATTGCCGACTACAGCATACTTGCTGTCTGAAGTGCTGTCTGTACAAAAACACCATGGTAGGCATGGAACAAGAAGCTGGCGGGGCACAAAGCTGCTGTCTGAAGTGCTGTCAGAATGTGTCTGCGGACGTACAGTGAAAAAGAACAACCAACCAAAGCCATGATTGCAATGGACAATCACCCGAACCTCTCCCGATCGTCTGTGTTAGGCACGCAGTGAAAATATCGACAATAGCTAAGAATCGTTCCACATTGAAGGGGTCTTCCACGATCAGGCACATAACCAATGCACCCGGGTTAGCCACGCCATCTCTGACGGGTCTCTCTACAAAACCAGTGACGACGTCATCACATAGAACCAACACCGAAAATCAGGAAAAAAACGAGAAAAATTGAAAACACAGATCAGATATAAATGTTTGTCCGTGCGCCACGGGTCGATGTCGCCCGCATGCTCCGGTGCCGCTGCTCCGTCCGGCGCCGCTGTAGTCAGCCCGAGCATAACGCCACTCGACCTGCTCCCTCCGTACACGCTCTCGTTGCTGTCCTTCCCAGTCGGTTCCTCGCTTTCTCCCTCGTTGCACTCAAGGTTCTTGGTCTGAAAAATAAAAATTCTCGCGCCGAAGGGGTCAACCAGCCCAGTTCAGCTCGTCGCCACCTGCTCCCTCCTCCTTGATGGCGAAGCCCTCTACATGAATATTAAACCAATACGAAGTACAACAACATGTCAGAGTAGGATTTTTTTCTACTGCGGCTACGCAGACTAGTTGCTGCAATCGTATTCAAAGGTCAAACCGTGTCCGACTACTGGTGGTCTCGACGCACGATTTTCCTGACACGACCCCTCGATCAAGCAACTAATTCACAATGGTCGACGGCATCACCATATCCTTGTCTACCTCGACCCCTCCGTTGGCATCGTATCGAAAATAAATTCCTTCTGGTATGGCGGGTATGGAAGGAAGCTTCACAGATCTTCGATCAACACGAGAAGTCCTTGATCTGCTGAATGATGGAGGCGAATCGGTGCTTTGGGAGGTACTTGGTCGCGATATCAGCCAACTGGTGCTCGCTGGGCCGGTGGTGAAGAGTGATTTGTCCCCGCAGTACTAGCTCCCGGATGAAAAAGTACCTCAGGGCCACGTGCTTCGTGCGTTGAGAGTGCATGGCATTCCCGGCCACTGTCAGCGCTCCGGTGCTGTCGCTGTTGATGGGAACCGATCCGAAGGTCTTGAAGTTGAGTTCCGTCAAAAAAATTGAGATGTAGACCGCCTCTCTGGCTGAGTAGCTAAGTGCTTGAATCTCGGCTTCGACCGTAATTTGCGCGGTTAGAGTTTGAGTCTTCGCACCGTAGCTGATGAGTCCTCCAGCCAGAAAGAAGAGATATCCCGTGGTAGATCTTCCGTTGTCGGGGTTTGCTCCGAAGGATGAATCCGTAAACGCCGCTAGCCGAAACTGTCCTCTCTTGTAGACGATAGGAAGAACCGGATTACCCCGAAGGTATCGCAGAACGTGCTTGGCTGCTGTCATGTTCACCTGCGCTGGGTCGCTGCAGGCCTTCAACAGTTGTAGGGCAGCGTAGGAGAGGTCGAATCGCGTGCACTGGGCCAGGTNAAAAAAATTGAGATGTAGACCGCCTCTCTGGCTGAGTAGCTAAGTGCTTGAATCTCGGCTTCGACCGTAATTTGCGCGGTTAGAGTTTGAGTCTTCGCACCGTAGCTGATGAGTCCTCCAGCCCGAAAGAAGAGATATCCCGTGGTAGATCTTCCGTTGTCGGGGTTTGCTCCGAAGGATGAATCCGTCAATTCCCCTAGCCGAAACTGTCCTCTCTTGTAGACGATAGGAAGAACCGGATTACCCCGAAGGTATCGCAGAACGTGCTTGGCTGCTGTCATGTTCACCTGCGCTGGGTTGCTGCAGGCCTT